ATGGCGGCTTCAGCCGATGAAACTAGCGTTAGCGTGGCTATCGAGCAAGTTTTATCGGAATTACAGAGTATTTCTTCACTGAAAGAAGAGCAAAACACTGCTCTGGAGGCTTTTCTCAGAGGAAAAGATGTTTTTGCTCTTCTCCCGACTGGTTTCGGCAGGAGTAGCCTGGCTGTTAGTACGTCATATGCTTCGTTGATCTGATTGGTTTATTTGGCCCGTCTATCACCAACATAGGCCAATCAGCTAACGAGTATTTTCGCCCCCTCCCAAAATTACTTCAACGGAAGGTTTCCAGATGGATATGCGGAGCAAATCCATCTGGCGGAGTCAGGTTAATTATGCCCAGCCAGTGATGTCATATTAAAAATCACACCATAAACCAAGATATGAGTCTTTATGATTTCTACAGGCAGGTTTACCACAATAGTAGATTCAAACACGGAAAAATGGCTTTTGGTTTCAGTTGCCACCCCAAGATTTTTAGTGGCCCCATCTGGCCCCCCCATGAAAGATTTCTGGAGGTGCCACTGTCCACGGGAGCTGCTACAGACCTCAGCCATACTGTGGGTGGAGCCGTGTCTCCCAGTGGATCAGTCCGTGCTGATGTGAAGCTGCCCTCTCTGGGGTTCATGCGATTGGTGTTCCACCAGGCTTAGGCCTTGGAGACGCTTCATTTGGGTTCTATCTCCCTGAAGAGCAGACCTAATTTCCTTTAATCTGAGACTCAGCTGATTGAGACCTGGACACAGCCGAGGATTTGGATTGGACAAAAGTTCCTAACATACACTTCAGCAAGTTCTGGGAAGGGATAAATCTGACTGAAACTTTTCCTGAATGTCCCTAAACTTTATTTTGTTTTGGAAACTCAGGGTTTTACTCAGATTCCAGGTCAGGTGCCAGAACACCAAGCGGTTTAGATAAACCACTTCTGCACAACCAGGTCAAATATCAAACCTAAATTACTGATGGCTTCAAAAAAGCATTTGGTTAAGGAACTACAGGCTCATACTGTATATAGAAATGCAAAGGTGGGTAAGGTACCCAAAAATTGGTCACAAAAGTAACAATACATTATCACATTTTTACTCAAATGAGAGTAAGAAAGGCAACTGAAGTACTGATTAATCATAATGTCTGATAGTTAATAATATATTATGTGCGTATTTAATGAAAAATTAAAACTAACTGAAAAAAATAGTCCATTACACATTAAAACTATGTAACCAGTACATTCAGTGACTATTTTTCCTCCTGACTACATGTTAGCTCGACCTCCAAATGTCAGGCTGGCTAAGTTCAAAGAAGAAATGACTCATTTTGACATAAATATTAACTGTGTGTTTAGAGCCTTGGAGAATCCAAACATTTAGCTCAAGGTGAAGCAGTGATATTTTACCAAGATAAAGGAAAATGAAAACAAATGCTGCAGGAAAAGAAATATTACTCAAGTAACTAAAGTACCTGAGTAAATGTAAGGTTTTACTCCTCAGCTCTGCGAATATGTCTTTATTTTAAAGCTGTTGGTACAATATAAGTCATTTTGTGGATCAAGGGAAATTCAAGATCTTGTTTTCTTTAAAAAGACATAAAATGTAGGGCTGCATGATATTGGGATTTTGGCCGATATCCGATATGCCGATATTTTAAAACTCATGTAGCCGATAACCGATATCGATACCGATGTTAAAGCTGGACAAAAATAAGTAGTCATTGTTGAAAATAGCAGTTTTGTTATCCATTTCTGACACTTTGAAAAATAATATACTCAAATATATTTTCATATGCTAATATCAAATTGATTTTTAAAAACGCGGTATGGATCTATTTTACTTTTTAAAATCTCGTGAAATTTCATTGTTCTGTTACAAACTCTCGTGATGTTTTGCAAATTCTTGTGAGATTTTGTTAGTAAAATAGATTGATACCGCGTCAATATATCAACATAAAAATATGGCAACATTTGGTGAATTTTCGGGGGATTTCGTAGCATAACGATGACATATAGCAATATTTCATTAGTAAAAGAGATTGATATGGTGTTTTTAAATGCTAATATAAGATATTTTAATGTATCAATATTTTTTCCCCCGTCTTTAGAAGTTTTTAAGTCTGTAAAAAAGAAGTTTTTGAGGAAGAAGTAGTATATTTTTTTTTTAGACTTTAGAAACTCAGAAGCTGATCAAATATCGGGTTAAATATCGGTGGGGTGGCCGATGTCTGATATTCAATTTTAAGCCGATACCGATAGGGGGCCGATTATATTGCGCATCCCTAACAAAATGTATGTTATATAATCATAATTCCTGGAAAAGTGAATTGTTACTAAATATGCTAAAAGCTAAATGCTTTCTAAAACCTACAATACAGCAATTGAGGTAATCCCATTCCGCTATCATCGCAACCCCTAATCGCTTTACAGGGGAGCAGAAGACCTCGCCTATTCAGCCAGGCTAACAATTCCCTTTAACGACCCCCCTTTCAGAGGCATAGACAGGTATGGGGCATTGCAGGCTAACAAAGAAGCCAAACGACCCCCATTCCTAAGGGGTGGACTCGCTTATCCGCTTCTATTTGCATGTTTTCTAAACAAAGAAAGGGCTTTGTTGGGCTACTGTATAAAGCCTGGAACTCAACACTATTTCTGACATTTTGAATTAATAAAGCTTCCTGGATGGGAAGAGAAACGTCTTCAAACTTTGAAACAAAGTCCAGTGGATTGTTTCTTTTTATACTTTTTTGGAATTACTAAATGAATGTGACGCATGCCTACGATGAAGCTATAGAGCCCAGTGAGTGGAACCAATACAGACATGAACCATTTCAGACAGGAAGGAGATTAGCCTGCATGGAAGGTGCTGGTTAACCTTTACAGATAACCTCCCTCTGGAAGTTAGAGGCACAGATAAGGCAAACAGATTTGATTCTTTTGTCACTTTAATGAGAGCAGATTACATCACAGTGGTCTTCTGCTAAAGAAGGGTTAACATGCCAGAAAAAGGACCATGCAGGTACGTCTAGAAGCGCCTGCTCCTCGTTTGTTGTTGATCATGACTGCGGCAGATCGTTAGCACAGAGTGAGTCTGTTTATTTGTTAAGGCAATCGATTGCTACAAAGGAAAGAGATAGATATGGGCTGTGACATGCATGGGGAAATCATTCAGACAGGCTGGGAGCAGACATGTGGCGCTGGCCGCCCTTTGATCTGACATCCAGGCTTCTTGTGGAAACTCTCCGGTCCTTCATCTAACCGATGGCTTTAAGCAAAAAGAAAAGCAATGAATCCAGAACAAAAATGGAAATAAGTTGGATCCACTTGTGATGGAGTTAACTTCAGAGGAAATATTACAAACAATATATATATACATTTGTATAACATCTAAAATCATTCTCTCGTTAAATGTACAGTTACTGTAAACATGCACTCTGTAACCACTGAGTCCTGTCGGCGCTCCGGCTCCACTCCCATATAAACAATCACCTTTTTGTATTGGGATATTTCGGCTTCAGCCGACCGCTGATATGGAAAGAAATGAGCGATAAACTGTCGGATCACATCTGGGCGACTGGTTCCTGTGTGGTACCTGAGCTCTGACTCAGTGGCTGTTAAAGGGAAGCAGGGTGTGAACACTGGAGCTCAGGTTGGGCCATCAGAACCTCCCCTGCAGCAGCCAGCTCTCCACATCAGCTAAATCACATCATATAAAGGTCGTCTTAAGATTAAAGGGTTCATTCTTAGGTTTTTTTATTTTATTTTATCAGGAATAGTCCCCTAAGGAGTAAAACATATAATTCAGTATAAGATTGATGTAAAGAAATGAAATCCTCAGAGTGAAGGAAGGTGGGATGCATCCTCGATTTAACTGAGTGAAGTTTTTTAAAGAGTGAAATATTCACACATCTATTTACACGTATTAAACATCTATACTTCATAAGATACAATCATTAGGAAAAGTATAAGCAGTTCTACTAAAAATGGCCTGGAAGAGCAAGTCCTCCATTACTGCATCCGCTTTGTGCAAAGAAACTTCTGTGATGCTTTCCTCGGGCTTCTGGGAGATTTATTTTTGTTAAATTTGTTTTTTATAAGGGAGTATTGGGGCCAGGCTAGAGATATTGTTTTTTTTTTATTTCGAGAATAAAGTCGTATCATTATGAGAATAAAGACATAAAATTACGAAAATAAAGCCGCAAAGGGAATAACCATACAATTACGAGAATAAAGTTGCAACATTTTGAAAATAAAGTAAAAAAATTACGAGAATAAAGTCTTAAAATTACGAAAATAAAGCCGCAAAGGGAATAGCCATACAATTACGAGAATAAAGTTGTAAAATTATGAGAATAAAGACATAAAATTACGAAAATAAAGCCGCAAAGGGAATAGCCATACAATTACGAGAATAAAGTTGCAACATTTTGAAAATAAAGTCAAAAAATTATGAGAATAAAGTCAAAAAATTATGAGAATAAAGTCTTAAAATTATGAGAATAAAGTAATAAAATTACAAGAATAAAGTCGTAAAATTATGAGAATAAAGACATAAAATTACGAAAATAAAGCCGCAAAGGGAATAGCCATACAATTATGAGAATAAAGTTGCAACATTTTGAAAATAAAGTAAAACAATTACTAGAATAAAGTCTTAAAATTATGAGAATAAAGCCATAAAATTACCAAAAAAAGTTGTAAATTTACGAGAATAAACTCATAGTATTCTGAGAATAAAGTCCTAATATTAGGAGAATAAAGTTGTATTTTATGACAACTCCTACAAGAAGCCCTGTCTTCCCTAAAACGAGGAAGGTTGAGCATCATGTGAAGTTCTACTTTGACAAATCAGGAAATCTTTTAGCAGCAGCATCAAACTGGGCAGGATGTCAAAGTGGACTCTGGTTGCTGATTGGTGGAGCTGGTCGGCCGTCTTATGCTGGGCGGAGCTCCAAGCTTTCTTTCTGAAACAGGTTGTGGTTTGATGACTTTATTCTCGTAATGTTACGACTTTAATCTGGTAATATAAAGACTTTATTCTTGGAATAAAAAAAAAAAGAAAGAATAATCTCTAGCCAAGTCCTAATACTCTGTGATAGTTTTATAAGAATAAAACCAAAAGTTAAAGCTAGCAGTGGAACCCCCCACAGGATGTGTGATCATATTCATGGATGCAGTTCATTACGCCCTGAACAATGGATCCCGGGTTCAACAAATATTTAAGGATTGTTTGTGACCAGTTTAACATTTTGGCACAATTTAGCTGGGAACTAGACCAAAGCTGAGGTGAGAAATCTTATACAACTAGATTCAGTCAAAAATACAGTCAGTGGAAAAGTTAACTCTCTTCGGTTTTGCCGTTACACAGTATAATCAGAACATTTTTTTATCAGATTCTACTGGGACTTCAGTAATATTAAAGTAGAGGCAGACTTTTTTTTTCTTGTGATGGTATCAGCTGATGCGTACACCTTTTTCCTGGTTCAGTGGTGGCATCATGTGAAGTGCATGCTTTGCTGCTCCCTCCATTCATTTTTTACTTGGTTTCTTAAAGGAAAAGTTCAGTCAGCAAGGAATAATCAATGGATCATTATTTATACCTAAAACTAACACGTTTGCGGTTATTTAATGAATTTAGCGTTAATCACTAAAACAATAAAAATATCACTGAGTCTGGGAGCGGCCATTTTTTCCAAATATAGTGACCCCTCCCTCCTGCATTTTCCAGCAGTGACATCACGGTGCGGTAAGCCTAGCGCCATTCTCCCCGCTTTACAAGCAAAATCAATGGGAACTACTAGACACATCTGCAATCAACAACAATTATTGAAGATTTCCAGAGGACTTCACCATTGAAATTCACCAGAGCTATAGTGAAACTGACAATGCCCACGTGCATGGCAGCTGGATGTTGGAATACATCGGTTAAAAGTGAAAAAAACGAGTTATTTCACCTTTCTGATTCCTGATCCTCCACGGACGGGTTCTGTTCGGAATCCAGTTTGTGTGGTCTGTTGTTTTGTGTTTGTCTCTCCCTCCACCACCAGGTGGCGCCCTGTCCTCGTTGGTCCTCCCTGCACGCCTGTGTCTCGTTGGATCATTATCTGGAGGAGTACTTAAGCCATGGACTGCCACTACCTCGACGCCAGTATTTGCCAGTTTTGGGTACTCTAGCCAAGCTGAGTTCTAACTAAGTCTTTGTTTCACTGAGCCTAACCTTGTTTTGGTCTTTGCCTTTTCGGCAGGAAGTCATCCTGCAAGCTGGATTTTTGGCCTTCTTCCCCTGGAAGGATTGTTTGAGTCTCACACTGAGCAGGGGATTAACCTCCACAAGTTCCATTCAAGTTCTCCTCGATTTCTGAGTGACAGTCCTCTCATACTCCTCTGGGTCCCCCCTTCACCAAGTCAACCCACACAGACTGGATACGAAGCGTGAGAAGAACCCTCCCAAACACGAGTCCCTCACTAGAATTATCCTTACGGCAACCAAGATTCCCACGGTACCTGAACTCACCTCTGTGAACTTCCCTCCTCCCTTCCAGTCCGGTTCACCAGCCCTCTGACTACACTGAGTTTCCTGAATCCCGTTCAAACCTTTGTCTTGCTGTCTGAGTGGTTCTCTGCATTTTGGGTCAGATCCTTAAATAAATCATGACGGGTTGGTCGTTGGATCGCCAACTTGAAGAGGGAGGATTTGCCATCGAACTTCTGGCCAGAGAAAAAACACGTAATATGTAGCCAACATTTGGAAGAAGAATGTTTTCAAGATGACTTGGATAATAGCGCGTTGTGACAAACACCAGATACAGCACTGGGACTTGATCAACAACCGATACCGCACCGTGACGTCACTAACCAGTAGGTGGCAGTAGTGTTCTTTGACAAACACGGATGCCTCCAGTAAAGCACATTCAAATGAAAATTACGCTCGATTAAAAACACTGATAAGTACTTTCAGAAGTTTTAATTCTGAATATGACTGAACTTTCCCTTTAATAAAGATTTATTTTGATATAATTACGGATTGGGTAACAATCGTTTTCAGTAAAGCATCGGCCATAAAAAACTGTATGAGTTGACCTGTTAATTAAACACACAGTAGCTCCTGTGATTTTGCCACTTATTTAACAAATACGAAGCTAAAACAGAAAAGCTAACCTTAGGATTTAATAACCTGGATTACAAATGTCCTGAATGATCTAAAATCTTTATTTCTGCACGACGCTCTGATTTGATTGACGTCCGGGCTTTGACTAGACCAATGAGACATTGACTCTTCCTAATGAGACACTGCCTTGCAGATTTGCTGCTGCAGTTTTTCTCCAGACATGACGTTCTTGCAGAAACCTCCAGCTTTGAGTTCGACCAGATTCATCTCAGGAACCCAAAGCTCCATACGGGCATCTCTTCCATCTAACCTTATTGGCTGAGTCTCTGTGTACTTGTCCTCTCATGCACTCTGAGATAGAGCTCTCTTGCTTTTAATTTTGTCATCTCTCAGACCGTCTGGTGTAAATGTGCCAAGACATTCACGCATGGGAAGGATGGCAGCTGTCCTTTCTGCTATTTCTCAAATCTGATGGAAGCAGGGAGGCTTTAAGCTTTCAGATGCGCCGCTTTACCCAGTTTAGCTTCATCCTTGCCTAAAAAATGCTACCAGTATTTATTTTCTAGTAGACCTGATGTTGAATTTTAATTGATTGAGAAGCTAACGAAGAACAAATGATTTTCTTTGCATTGATGCGGCCCAGACGGAGTGGAAAAGTGTCTTTGGAGAGTGACTGCAGCAGCGGGACATCGATCGGCACCAAATCCGCCTCTTATCAGTGATATATTAAAGACATTCATGTGTACATTTATAGTATAAGTGAACTAGACCTATCTTCCAGAAATATACATATTCTATCTGCACAAACTCTTAGAATATACTTGGTCTGAACAGTTATATGGATACGTTTGTTGCAAACATGAAAGTGAGCTTTAATATCACTATTCTGTCATTTTGAGCAAATTCTTTTTGATTGTGTGAACTAGAATGGACTCCGTTAATAAGGGTCTGGGTCCCACACTGGAAAAAAATCTAAATCTAGATAAGTCATTTTTTTTCTTAAAATAAGTGCATTTTTTCTTGAATTGAGGAGGTAAGTGAGACACTTTGCCAATGGAAAAAGACAATTTATATTAAAATAAGAAAACACAATTACATTGTCTTATTTCTAGTATACACACTGCCTGGCCAAAAAAAACGTTGCCACCTGGATTCAACTAAGCAAATAGGTACGAGCCTCCTATTGGATAATTACTGCGATTATCTTTCAGCTGGCAACAAGTTATTTAACCCCAACTGGTGCAATGACTTGCTTCTCATTTCCTAAACAACCATGTGGAAAGACACATCCCGTGGTCGTGGAAAAGATATTAGTCTGTTTGAGATGGGTCAAATCATTGGCATGCATCAAGCGGAGAAAACATCTAAAGAGATTGCAGAAACTACTAAAATTGGGTTAAGAACTGTCCAACACATTATTAAAAACTGGAAGGATAGTGGGGACCCATCATCTTCAAGGAAGAAATGTGGCCGGAAAAAGATCCTGAATGATGGTGATCGGCGATCACTTAAACGTGCGGTGAGATCAAATCGAAGAAAAACAACAGTAGAACTCAGGGCTATGTTTAATACTGAAAGTAAGAGCATTTCCACACGCACAATGCGAAGGGAACTCAAGGGATTGGGACTCAACAGCTGTGTAGGTGTAAGAAAACCACTAATCAGTGAAACTAACTGGAAAAAAAAGGAGGAGCATAAAGATTGGACTGTGGAGCAATGGAAGAAGGTCATGTGGTCTGATGAGTCCAGATTGACCCTGTTCCAGAGTGATGGGCCAATCAGGGTAAGAAGAGATGCACCCACCATGCCTAGTGCCTACTGTACAAGCCTGTGGGGGCGGTGTTATGATCTGGGTTTGCTGCAGTTGCTCAGGTCTAGGTTCAGCAACAGTATGTGCTCAAAGAATGAGGTCAACTGACTACCTGAATATACTGAATGACCAGGTTATTCCATCAATGGACCTTTCCTTTCCTGATGGCACAGGCATATTCCAAGATGACAATGCCAGGATTCTTCGGGCTCAAATTGTGAAAGACTGGTTCAGGGAGCATGACTCATCATTTTCACACATGGATTGGCCACCACAGAGTCCAGACCTCAACCCCATTGAGAATCTTTGGGATGTGCTAGAGAGGGCTTTGCGCAGCGGTCAGACTCTAAGATCTTGGTGAAAAATTAATGCAACACTGGATGGAAATAAATCTTTTGACATTGCAGAAGCTTATCGAAACAATGCCACAGCAAATGCGGGCCGTAAAGAGCTAATGGCGGTCAAACAAAGTATTAGAGTGAATTACCCTTTTTTTTGGTGGCAACTTTTTTTTTTGGCCAGGCAGTGTAGTATATAATTAACCTATTTTAAGGATTTAAATCCTCATTCCATTTGCAAATCATCTTATTTACCTCCTCAATTTAAGGGTAAATACACTTAATTTAAGACATTTTGACTTATTTCTAGATCGCTTTAGCAGTGCAGTGACAGAAATGCTCCCTGGAGTAGATATATCAGCTTGTTTTACTTCTTAAATAATAACAACAAGAAAAAAGATAATAACTGGTCCTTAAAAACCCCTGAGAGGGTTTATTATTTCAGCCTAGAAGGTCAAGGTGGGTGCTGTTCTATTCTACATCCACCAGGATTTTGGTCTAACAGCACATGCATCACTTTCTAACAGAAAACACAAGCAAACTTCATCGTCTCTATTTTCTATTTCAGTCCCGATTGATTATAAAGTGATAATATTCCCATATTTTCCTCTGGGTTCGTAGGATGTGACACTTCGTAGTCCCTGCAGGCTCCCATCCTCTGCAGGCCATCCGTCTGCAAACACAGCCTGTGAATTATGGAGGAGGTCTTTCTTTCCTGTGGCGGGATGAGGGTCTGTTGGGAGATCCGGATACGAGCGGCTGCATTGTTCATGCAGGTGTGCAGACCAAGCTGATGATTTCACCGTGAACAGTGGGCAGCCTTCCTCACTGTAGCGTGTTTCAGTTTCTGACGGGGCGGCAGATTCTGCAGCAGAGTTCGGCTGGCAGTGCACTACTGGTGTTGGATTTGGGTTTCCTGGGCGGGACCTTTTAAGAGGCTGATGGGTCGAATGTTTTTCGATGGTTTGTTCTGTTTGTTCGGTTCTGTTGTAAATGAAACAGAGTCTATCTGTAGACATCAAAGTGTCAGGACGAAAATAAACCTTCAAATCTGGAATCACGGCTGTTGTCTGATGGTCTGAGTATCTGCACCTATGTACTGTAGGAATGTGTGTCCATCTTTGAGGTGTGTATGGGGTGTGGGATGCTAGTCGCGGTTGCAGTTGCGTTTCTTAAAGAAGAAGAACGGCGTCTTCTGAGGTGGGCCCAGCAACATGGGGACCTGGTTCTTGTGCGTGATTCTGACCTGTAAAAAGAAAGAAAAGAAAAGGATTCAATCTGAAATCTGAACAAGTCTGCTTGCTAGGCTGGCAGTCATCACTTCCTGTCATTGTACAGGAAAATAACTCGCTGTAGTCTTGAATTAACTGACAGGAGAGGCTTTGCTGCACTGTGACAATTAACCAACGCCCCCCTGTGAGATGAATAATATGCTGTGAGATTTGATGGAATGACATTGTTGGAGGTCGAGGTTGGGCTTGTGCAGAGGTGGCTGAGTGAAAGATCCGGGAAACGAGCCAAGGCACGACAAAAGTAGGACATCACGAGCTTGGTAGGGCGCTCTGCCTGCCAGGCTTTAAGAGGCGGCCCCTTTCTGAGGTATTTATACTCCTTGAACCTTTTAGCATTTTATTTACATGTTCGTACATCAAATTATTGGGAATTCATTTAAGAGACCAACAAGACGCAGCTAATACATGTGAAATGGAAGGAAGGTGATTAAATAGCTTCCAGAAATCTTCCTGCTGCAGCTGCAGAGGGCTGGAGGCATTTTGCTTCCATTTTTCTGCATTTCTTCTGCAATTTGGAGTTTGGAAGCTGCTGTTTTAGAAAGCATCTAAGCTCATCCCCTTAGATAAAACTCACATGAACCCCAAAGACCCAAAGGAGGCAAATACAGCTTGTTTGTTTGCATCTGACTTGGAATTTCTATGTGCATAAAAACTACAGTTTGTTTAAAGGAGAAGGCCGGTCATATTCAGAATTCAAACTTCTGAAAGTACTGATATATTTGCCTGCTTAATTTAATTTAAAAAAAAATATTTAAGAAGGGAACCTTTTGTCCGGGACTGAACGAAATGATTGTAAAGTACAAGATGGTGCTGCAATGTTCTGTGTGATTGCAGATTTTTGAATGACAGCGTATTGCTAAGTTCTCACCGTGCAGGGCGGCTGCATCCAGGGCTCACCATCGATCTGCATGGGAAGCCGCCGAGACGTCCTGAGAAGAGACAGCAGAGGGATGAAGGGTGAGGAGCTGGTGTGGGAAGCAGAGGTTGTTAAGGTCAGATATCAGCCATCTTCGAGGCAAGAGAAGAGGCCCATCAACACTGTCCCAGGGTAGGGTCAGACACTGCTCTCTTTGTTCCCATGAGAGCAGTTCCCAGACAGGCCCCCACTCTTTAAACTCCCCAAACCCACGGCCCACACACACATGCACGCACCCACACAGCCAAAGTTGGTTTAAGACTTTCACGCATGGCTCTGTGACTGAACAAACACGTTATGGGAGAATGGCGGTGCTGAATACTCCGTTAATTCTGGTCTAGGAAACTATCAGTGTAAATATCAGAAAAAGTGAAAATGTCCTTCAGATTCAGCTTAATGCAGACGGCTGTGTTTGATAAATGAGCTGTACGCAGTTTAACCTCTACATCATCCATGGGATTTTTATTTTCTCAAACCCCCCAATATAAACAATCAGACACAGAAAAGGTAGGGAAAATAGCACAGAAATGCTAATGTTATTTATTTGAAATTATGATTTAAATTCAGTTCAGTTCAGTTATTTCTATAGCGCCAATTCACAAGACATGTCATATCAAGACACTTTAAAGAGACAATTCAAGCAGATCATACAGTGAGATTGGGTCAAACCAGCTGATTGCATCGACTCATTGACTCTTCAGCAATCCCTCACTCTAAGCATGCTCGTAGCGACAGTGGAGAGGAAAAACTCCCTTTGAACAGGAAGAAACCTCCAGCAGAACCAGGCTCAGTGTGAGTGGCCATCTGCTGAGGACGACTGGGGTTCAAGGAGACAGAAACAGACATAGAAAAAGAAGCTGAGATACAAAAAGTTTATAGATGTTGGAGTTTGGCCTATTTTTCAGTGTAGTCCTGTTTCTCTGACTGTGATTAATTGCATGTGCTCTCTTTTTGTTTTTCTTTTTTTGTTTTTTTTTAATTAATATTATGTTTTTGTCTTTTATCAAGTTTGATTAGATGGACTGAAGTCAAAAATGGCTCTTTGGATTGTAAAGGTTGTAGACCGCTGTCTTTACCAATTGGTTACCTAGTTCATTACCAGTGTTACTGGTAGCCATTTTGATCCATTATTGTTACAAGCAGAGAACACATTTTGTAAATGGAAATGGGCAGCTCAGTAGCGCAGTGGGTAGCACTGCCACCTTGCAGCAAGAAGGTCCGGGTTCGATTAAGGGCATGTTCTCCCTGAGCATGCGTGGGTTCTCTCTGGGTACTCCGGCTTCCTCCCACAGTTCAAAAACATGACTGTTAGGTTAATTGGTTTCTCTAAATTCTCCTTAGGTGTGAATGTTTTTTTTTTTTGTCTCTGCGTTGCCCTTGCGACCTGTCCAGGATGGACCCCGCCTCTCGCCCGTAGACAGCTGAAGACACCAGCACCCCTCGCAACCCTGCTAGTGATAAGCATGACTGAAAATAGATGGATGGAAATAAAATAACATAAATTTATTTTGAGTAATTTAGCTGTTTTCTCAGATTATTATTCAATTTTCTTTCTTTTAAAATAAGATTTTTCCAAATTAATTTCTCATATTTAAAATTTCCAAGTTGTATTTTTGTGACTTTCTTTTTTCAATAAATTTTTTTAAATATAATTTCATATTTTGCAATAATTTTTTTAATGCATTTTACAGATTTTATATTTAAATTTTTTTTTTGTCCAAATCTATTTTTCCGAGTGAGTTTAAAAAATGTCATTCTTTTGAAATTGTGTTTCAAAGATCTAATTCTAGCCCAACACTGGAAAAAAATCGAAATCTAGATAAGTTATTTTTTTCTTAAAATAAGTGTATTTGTTCTTGGATTTAGTAGGTAAAAGAGAGATTTTACCAATGGAACAATACAATTTACACTTACAATAAGAAAACACAATTGCATTGTCTTATTTCAGGTGCATTTTATCTAATTTTCTTATTTTAAGAGTAAAAATACTCATTCCATTGGCAAACTATCTCATTTACCTAATCAAATTAAGGGTAAATACACTTAATTTAAGACATTTTGACTTATTTTTAGATCCTTTTTCCAGTGAATAAAAATGTTTGCTCTTGACCCAGACACTGACCAATACAATGTTGCTGCTAACATCCATGCAGACCAATAAAAATGCGTCTTCACTCAACATTCCAGAGGAAAGCCCGCCCCCAGAAGTGAAGAGAATATAATCTGGTAATAATAAATTGAAAAGAATGACATTTGTAAAACTCATTCTAAAGAATAAAAATTACAAAAAGATTTTTATAAAATCGTTAATTTTTTTTTAAAAGATAACATTTGGAAAATAAAATGCTGCATTGAGAACCAGCTGTTCGTTCTATTTGTAGAATCTGACTGTAGACGTCGTCACTCCAAACTGAAGACGGTTCAACCTGTGAGTCAGCTCAAAGTCCCCACAGCTCTCTTCATAAAGCGTAAAGCTAAGATGCATAATTTATCAGAAAGAAAGATGTCCTTGTTTGGACCTCAATGCTCAAAAACCTCTCAAAAGAAATCCATTTTTCATTCATTTTGCATTTTATGTCCTGCGTCATTAGACTAGAACACAAAGACAGGGTAGAGACAGAGCACAGTGAAAAAAAAGGACAGAAGGTGAGAGGTGCAACAAACGCAGCTGTGCTTTGGGGAAAAGATGGCAGAAGCCGCTGACCTGATGGTGACGTTGGCACATTGAGCCAGTCTGCGTCCTGCGCTCTTCAGCCCGGTGTAGATCTGGCCCATTTCTATCGCCCCCTCCAGGCCAACCACCTCCAAGAGCTGGTCACTGAAGTCTGGAAGGTACCAAAGACACAAAGACAAAAAAATTACAGCTTGCTTGCAGTTTACACTCAGACTTTAGACTTAGAAAACTTTAATGTAATTTTGTAAACACAGAGTTTATACAAAACAGTTTCATTTTGTACAGCTTTCAGGACATTTCCATTCCATAAAGTACAGCAGTAAATGTAAACAGTGTGGGAGAAAAAAACATGGTGCAAAAAATGCGTTGATATGGAAGCTCAGAGCATTAAATATAGATGGTGCAAATATGCAGAATTTTCCTTTGGTGTCGTCGGTGTGATGCAGTGTCTGTGACATTATTTAGAGTTTTCTCAACATTAAGGCGGTAATGAAACAAGCCTTCTTAGATGACCAAAGTTCTAAAAGATAAGCTTTAAAAAAACAGAATGGAAAGAGTTAGGGCTTATTTTTTAATTAGTCATTTCTTTGAATCATCGATTAATCGAAAATGACCTTTAACATTTGAGAAGGTTGCAAGTATCTGGTTTGATCCCCACAGCCTGCACTCTGTGTTCCTGAGCAAAACCTCCATACTGCTCCCTGGGCGCAGCAGAATACACACTCTGCTTTGTTTTTAAAAGATATAAATATAAAAAATATAACCGCGGATGTCTGGGGGACAGTGATTGGCCTCCACGTTCTGAATGCTGGCGTACCATAAAGAATAAATGATGAACAGTTTAGTTTGTGCCTTCAACTCGTTGCCCATAGGAAGACGTTACTTGGATATAACGGAATATCTTCAGAACGGCTCCAAAAGACACAAAACTCATATGGGTGAGTAGAACATGATGGAATAACGTAAAACCAAGGACCAATGGAAAAAAAATGGTGTTCCCCTTTAAATAGAAGTATAGATACTGCAGTTTAAAAACACTCTGGTAAAAGTTGAAGTATCAACTTCACCTCTTTACTCAAGTAAAAGTGGAAAAGTATGTGTTCTAAAAACTACTGAAAGTATAAAAGTATAAGGCCCAGTCCACACGAAGTCAAAACGAACACGAAACGCTAGTATTTTCCAGAACATTTGTCGTAAAGACGGAGACGTAAAATAAATGTGATCGTCCACACGAATGCATGAAAACACTACAAAATGTATGCCAGGCCTGTAAGTGGCGCTGTGGTGCCAAAGCAAAAATAGGCGACGAAATGTTGGGCATGCGCACTAATATTTATACATGGTTGCCCTGCGGGTCCATTTTCGTGGTTCAGTCAAATTCAGGTGCTGAACTATGTCGTCGATATTGCTCTGTTCTTCCTGGAGATATTCCAGAAGAAGAAGATTCTGTTGTAAGCCCGACAGCAGGGTGAGTAGCATTAGCAGCGACCATTCAACACAGTACGGCGCCATTGTTGTTGTGATACTGTGTCGCGCATGCGTGTTTAGAGGCGACGTTATGACGCATGCGTGTAAAAAAAAAAAATGCGGTTAGAGCTTAAAGATGGAAACGCGAAAAAACGGCGTTTCAAAATTTTCCCACTCTGAAGGCTTAATAAAAAAAAGATCGTTTACAGACCCCCGAAACGCCGGCTTCGTATGGATGAGAGGCTGGTTTGGTGAAAAATGTGTGCGTTTAGGCCAGGGTTCAGCTTCGTGTGGACGGGGCCTGAAGTAACCTTAAAAAAAGCAGCCAAATGCCCCTACGTGAATTGAAAGCTGAAATGATCGACCATTTTGAAAAATTCTTAGAGATAGGACCAAGGATGAGAGAAGTCTTGTTGGTCTCCGTCTCCCGATACGCTCTCGCCTGCGTCCGACCTTTCAGACATTTCTACATCTTTTTCTGAATCCCACATTGTAGCATGGCATAGACAATTCACGTTAGCAGTTTGAAGAACACCTGCTAGCTTCTGATGATTTCCTTTAGCCAGAGATGGGAAGTAACGAAGTACAAATACTTCGTTACTGTACTCAAGTACATTTTTCTGATATTTTTACTTTACTTTACTACTTATTTTTATGGTGACTTTTTACTTCTACTCCTTACATTTTTACACAAATATCTGTACTTTCTACTCCTTACATTTTAAAAAAATTGTCTCGTTACTTTAGTTTTGAATCATTTCAATGGAGTTACCGTTATTATTTTTCACGTCATCAATACCAAATTCAATCTAATTGGATGGGAATCTACGTTGCATTTGACGCACCACTACAAGATGAATCGACAGATTCGGCGGTATCTATTGGCGGCAAATCATTGCTGCTTGGTGGCGGTGGCGTTAGCATAGTAGCATGGACAACGAGATGATTGAAAATGAACACAACGGAGATCTAGTCCTATTGGCAGACATCCATTTAAAATGTAGGCAAGGCATGAAAAAAGTGGTTTCTACTTTTACTTTTATACTTTAAGTAAATTTACAAGCCTGTACTTTGTTACTTTTACTTGAGTAAAGAAGTTTAATCAGTACTTCCACTTTTACCAGAGTATTTTTAACACAAGTATCTGTACTTTTACTCAAGTACGGAAAGTGAGTACTTTTGCCATCTCTGCCTTTAGCTAACCAATGAGTGTTTGCGTTCTATGACTCATCCAATCACACTAGTTTTCACTAGATGTGGGTGGAGCCAATGATCTGCATTGGATGGAGCACATGACGGGAAATAAATATTTAGAAACATTAAACCGAAGCCAAGAGTAACGAGGAAAGTTTGTTTTAGAAATGTAAGGAATAGAAAGTACAGATACTTGTGTGAAAATGTAACGACAACATTTCACCTGTAAAGGCTTTAGGCACGGGAGAATAACGCTGCCTCAACATGAACTTCCTTCCTCTCCTCTGCAGCGCGCATGACGTGCTGCGACAGGCTGGAGTCGGACGTTCTCCTGAAAGGAGCCCGCAGCCAGATGGATGTGCTCACAATCACCGAATGTTTTACTATAATTATAGCTAACCTTTGTGTTTCTGTTCTGTGTTTCTACAGAAACTGATAGAAGCGGATTGTGCTGCTGTACGGTGAACCTTCAGCCTCTCCAGGACGGCTGGGTGGCAGCCACTCTTTCAGATTCTTTGTGATTTGAATTTCAAACCGAAAACCTGAGAAATGTTTTGTCCTCTCAGCTGGCGTGATAATTTGTTAAGTGTGACAGCAGAGAGTGTTGGCGGCTACTCGTCTGCACTAATTAAGTGTTATGGCAAACAGATCACATGGCAGCTTTGATTTGGCTGATCTGGCTTCTTCTTCTTCTCTCCCATCTTAAAAATCCTCCCACTGATTAGTTTGTTCTGATTTATTTTACTGAGAGGAAACTCTCTCTCTTTCTCTGATGGCTTCCAGCAATCTGTGACACAAAGTCTTAAAATAAACAATATATATGATTACAGCCACTGATTTGAATGTACTAATAACCAGTTTGTAGAATAGATGGACTAAAATTAATTCATAAATGTGATGCACAAGAAAATGAATAAATGGATTAAAACAGGTGGGGGGGGGTGGAGGTTAGGTGATCAAACAACATCCTAAGCTTTGATCATATCTCAGTTCTGGCTGCTTCATCATCTGAATGTGGAGAAGATGTCGACCTAAACCTTTTTTTTTAGGCTTTTTTGTACGATATACACTTTTTTATATTGTCTGTTGTATTTTTATCTTTAATGGCATCTTGCTTAACTCTTTGTACTCTATATATCAAAGGTCACGGATTAGCGGACCGCGGTCCGGATCCAGACCCAACCTGATTTAAAACATTTATAAATTACTGCATGTTTTCCAACGACAATATCTAAATTCACTTGCACCTCTTCTCCTGTTAATACGGTAAAGCCCTGGGGAGCGTCCGGCTCCAGGCTGCACGTGATCCAAATGAGCCAATCAGCTGTCAGTCTGGGTTGCTGCTGCTGCTACTTTTAGAGACAGCAGGCAAACCTGTGGCAAGCCGGGCGATGGGAAAGAAGGAGAAGACGATGAGAAAAAGAGAGCAGAGAAAGTGTGGACTGCTGGAAGAACTGCGGTGAACTGGTGAAAGAAAAGTGAAATGGCGTGCTCAAAGATGACCCTGCACATTTAGAGGATGTTTGGCTCAACCTGCTGCTGTGAAGCAGGATTCTCCACCATGAACAGAATCAATAATAAATCTGGATCCAGGCTCAAAATGAGCACCTTGATATGTGCTTGAGAATGGCTTAGTCTCCATTCAAACCCAGGTTTAAAGCCTTGCAGGGCAGCCTAAAGCCCACTGCCAACATTAAGACAGAAACCAGAAGGAAAATAACAAACCATCAGTTCAGGGGTTTGAGAAAATATGGGAATCAGGAAATTATCTATAAACCAAACTGAACGATTGTTGTTCTCTACTTAAAAAACACTTTAGATTAAATTCTTTTTTTTATATTTTTATATTATATATTTTTATATTATATATTATATATTTTTTATATTTTTTTTATATATATGTTTATATTTATATATATATATATATTAGGGATGCACGATATAATCGGCCCCCTATCGGTATCGGCCTTAAAACTGAATATCGGACATCGGCCACCCCACCGATATTTAACCCGATATTTGATCAGCTTCTGAGTTTCTAAAGTCTAAAAAACTTCTTTACCTTCTTCTTCTTCCTCAAAAACTTCTTTTTTACAGACTTAAAAACTTCTAAAGACGACGGAAAAAATATTGATACATTAAAATATCCCAATATCTTCATATGCTGATATATTGCCATTTAAAAACACCATATCAATCTCTTTTACTAATGAAATATTGCTATATGTCATCGTTATGCTACAAAATCCCCCGAAAATTCACGAAATGTTGCCATATTTTTATATGTTGATATACTGACGCGGTATCAATCTATTTTACTAACAAAATCTCACAAGAATTTGCAAAATATCACGAGAGTTTGTAACAGAACGATGAAATTTAACGAGATTTTGAAAGTAAAATAGTTCGATACCGCGTTTTTAAAAATCAGTTTGATATCAGCATATGGAAATATATTTGAGTATATTATTTTTCAAAGTGTCAGAAATG